ATCAGAATGAAGAAACTGATAAATAGATATGGATTCGTCGATGAAAAGAGGCCCTTAAATAGCCCTATAGCCAGCCGTTATTGTTGGGGCACAGTACTAGGGGTAGAACATAGCCTCAGGGAGTTTTGATTATGACTGCTGCTTCAAACATGGCCGCCTCTGGCTGATAGAGAACCTGTTCCCTGCCTAGCAGCCAAAGATGTCATCTTGGCAGCACACTGTGATTGTGGCCGTTTTCAGGAGCAGTGGACTCACACAGACAAGCTACCCCTCCACTCTCTCTCTCTCTCTCTCTCTCTCTCACTATCTCTCACTCACTCACTCGAGTGCAAACACGCACACACACTCAAATACACAGTCACACACACACACACACACACACACACTCTCCATCTCTGAGCTGCTGATTTGAGTAGTACTGCTGCAGTGAGTGGAGAGAATGGGAGGGTTGGGTTGGGTGTGCATTCTGCCCAGCTAAGACTGCGATTTCCAGAGTGCCTTGCTTCCTCCCACGCCCATCAGACGTTTAACTGCAGTGACAACGCTCACAACTTGGCACAGCACGAATCCACATATTGTGTCACCAGGGAAATGGTGCCGGTGTGTGATTACACCCGTCTCTATTCTACTACCTGGGGTGTCTGGGAGAATTTATCAACGATAAAAAAAAGTATATTCATCTAAGTATACGGTTTCTTAAAGCAGGAAGAATGTTCATTTGGACTCCTGCTAGATAACACCTGCCTGGATTTGATTATAGGGTTCATTGTGTCATCCTAACATTTCTCTATGACTCCTGCCTGACTGTGTCGAACATGTAAAAAATAAAAAAAGTCAAACAATGAGGATGCACTTGGCATATTTTCACAACATTTTGATATGAGGAAATGTCTGTGGCTTCCCCCTTCCAAGCAGGCTACATAACAACACAATGACTGGATCTTTGTGGTATTCCCTGTAGCTCAGTTGGTACAGCATGGCGCTTGCAATGCCAGGGTTGTGGGTTCGTTTCCCACGGGGGGCCAGTATGAAAAATGTATGCACTCACTAACTACCCCCAAGCCATAAGACTCCTGAACAGCTAATCATGGCTACCCGGACTATTTGCACTGCCCCCCCACCCCATCCTTTTTACGCTGCTGCTACTCTGTTAAGTATTTATGCATAGTCACTTTAACTCTACCCACATGTACATATTGCCTCAACTGCCTCAACTGGCCGGTGCCCCCGCACATTGACTATGCAACGGTACCCCCCTGTATATATAGCCTCCCTACTGTCACTTTATTCTATTGTATATATAGCCTCCCTACTGTCACTTTATTTTTTACTTCTGCTCTTTTTTTCTCAACACTTTTTTGTTGTTGTTTTATTCTTACTTTTTTGTTTAAAATAAATGCACTGTTGGTTAAGGGCTGTAAGTAAGCATTTCACTGTAATGTCTGCACCTGTTGTATTCGGCGCATGTGACCAATAAAATTTGATTTGATTTGATTTTGAACTGTAAGTCGCTCTGGATAAGAGCGTCTGCTAAATGACTAAAATGTAAATGTATTTTAGATTGTTTAGATGTGATATTTTGGGAGAGGCAATGAGTAATACACATGCATAACAAAACAATTATATCTATGAACATGATAGAAATGATAGAAGCTGTTTTATAGTTTTTTATTGTATTTTTATTTCTCCCCAATTTCGTGATATCCAATTGCGATCCAATTACAATCTTGTGTCATCGCTGCAACTCCCCAACGGGTTCGTGAGAGGCGAAGGTCGAGTCATGCGTCATCTGAAACATGACCCGCCAAACCGGTTCCTTAACCGGCTTAACCTGGAAGCCAGCCACACCAATGTGTCGGAGGAAACACCGTTCAACTGACGACCGAAGTAAGCCTGCAGGCGCCCGGCCCGCCACAAGGAATCTCTAGAGCGCGATGAGCCAAGTAATGATAGAAGCTGTTTTCATTGTCATAGTGTATGTTGGACATTCAGATAAGATGTGCTGTTCATGCCCTAGAGAGGTTTCATGACGGGGTGATTATGTTTATACAGTATCATGACTCATGTCAGAGAAAAGCTAACACGTGTCAGTTGTGGGCCTACTAGTATGTCCAGATCTAACACCGTGTCATATACACATAAATGATGGTTCTAAACTGTACCAGATAGGGGTTCTTTGGCTTGTAAACATTGTGGAACCATTTTGGTGCTATATAGAACCCTTTTTAAAAGGTTCTATAAAGAACCATGCTCATAATGTTCTAAATGGAACCTGTATGGTGCTATAAAAACACATTTTCTAAGGTTCTATAATGAACCATTAAATAAGATTCTATATAGCACCAAACAAGGGTTCTGCTATGGTTACAACCCTTTTTGGGGCTATATAGAACACTTTTTTCTGGTTCTTTATAGAACATTTATGGAGAATGGTTCTATAACCAATCTTTCTCATTTTTTAAAATTCTGGTCAGCCATTGTATATTGTTAAAATTGCATAGGTGTTATTATTGTGTTAATTCACAAGTTGATTCAAATGAGCTACCTCTGGAACAGCTGGGGGTCCATGAGGAGAGAATTGAGAACCACTTACCGATTTTGTCAACAGTTCTCAATGACCCAAGGCCATACGTGTGTCTTTCACAAGACACCGTCACTGGCCATAGCCATATATAATATGTATTGGCATAACACAACACATTTGATAAACTGTAATGACACTCACGATTGCTCAAAAAGAGCTTTGATCAAACCACGCCCCAAAATATTCTAATGAGCCGTCTACCTTACATTTAGTTTTTTTATATAAAGAAATAATAATAATTTAGGGGGTAGATCAGCTTTAATATTGCAGATAGATTGTGCCTTCCGTCAATGTAATTGTCTGCATCATTTCCAGTCCCCAAAATATTTTTGGGTAAATATATACAGGAGCAGTCAAAAGTTTGGACACCTACTCATTCAAGGGGTTTTCTTATTTGTACTATTTTCTACATTGTAGAATAATAGTGAAGACATCAAAACTATGCAATAACACATATGGAATCATGTAGCAATCAAAAAAGTGTTAAACAAATCAAATATATTTCAGATTTTAGATTATTCAAAGTAGCCGCCCTTTGCCTTGATGACAGCTTTGCACACTCTTGGCATTATCTCAACCAGCTTCATTAGGTAGTCACCTGGAATGCATATCAATTAACATGTGTGCCTTGTTAAAAGTTAATTTGTGGAATTTCTGTGGTTGTGAATAAACATTTGTAATAAGTATATATTATTTACGCGAGGCACAGGGTTCAGTGGAGATCCTACTGGCAGCTGGGGCTGTTTTGTCCAGTGTGGCAGTGCTCCCACCTCCCTGACCAAGGACCTTCTCCCTCGATTGCTCAGTTTGGCCGGGCAGCCAGCTCTAGGAAGAGTCTTGGTGGTTCCAAACTTCTTCCATTCCAAGAATGATGGATGCCACTGTGTTCTTGAGGACCTTCAAATCAAATCAAATATTATTTGTCACATGCACCGTATACAACAGGTGTAGACCTTACAGTGAAATGCTTACTTACAAGCCCTTAACCAACAATGCAGTTTTAAGAAAATGTAGTGTTAAGTAAACAATAGATAAGTACAAAATAAAAGCAGTAAAATAACAGTAAAAATAACAGTAATGAGGCTATATACAGCGGGTACCAGTACAGTGTTAATGTGCGGGGGCACCGGTTAGTCAAGGTAATTGAGGTAATATGTATATGTAGGTATAGTTAAAGGGACTATGCATGCATAATAAACAGAGAGTAGCAGCAGCGTAAAAGAGGGGGTGGGGACAATGCAAATAGTCCGGGTTGCCATTTGTTTAGCTGTTCAAGAGTCTTATGGCTTGGGGGTAGAAGCTGTTAAGAAGGCTTTTGGACCTAGACTTGGCGCTCCGGTACCGCTTGCCGTGCGATAGCAGAGAGAACAGTCTATGACAAGGGTGGCTTGAGTCTTTGACAATTTCTAAGGTCTTCCTCTGACATCGCCTGGTATAGAGGTCGTGGATGGCAGGAAGCTTGGCCCCAGTGATGTACTGGGCCGTACGCACTACCCTCTGTAGTGCCTTGCGGTCGGAGGCCGATCAGTTGCCATACCAGGCAGTGATGCAACCAATCAGGATGCTTTCGATGGTGCAGCTGTAGAACTGTTTAAGGATCTGAGGACCCATGCCAAACTTTTCAGTCTCCTGAGGGGGAATAGGCTTTGTCGTGCCCTCTTCACGACTGTCTTGGTGTGTTTGGACCATGATAGTTTGTTGGTGGTGTGGACACCAAGGAACTTGAAGCTCTCAACCTGCTCCACTACAGCACCGTCGACGAGAATGTCCTTATTTTCCTGTAGTCCACAATCATCATCCAATGCTGCAGACATTTTTTGGTACTCTTCCCCAGAACTGTGCCTTAACACAATCCTGTCTCGGAGCTCTTGGTGGTTCCAAACTTCTTCCATTTAAGAATGATGGAGGCCACTGTGTTCTTGGGGACCTTCAATGCTGCAGAAATGTTTTGGTACCCTTCCCCAGATCTGTGCCTCGACACAATCCTGTCTCGGAGCTCTACGGACAATTCCCTTCGACCTCGTGGCTTGGTTTTAGCTCTGACATGTACTGTCAACTGTGGGACCTTATATAGACAGGTGTGTGCCTTTCCAAATCATGTCCAATTAATTTAATGTACCACAGGTGGACTCCAATCAAGTTGTAGAAACATCTCAAGGATGATCAATGGAAACAGGATGCATAACGAAATGTGGAAAAAGTTAAGGGGTCTGAATACTTTCTGAATGCACTGTACAGCCCTGATTCAACATTTTACCATTAGACCCTTCACACATACATTATCTAGTCATATGACGATATCAGCCTGTTTAGCAAATGAAAAATACTGTAACATTCACAATAAATAACATATGCCAATTTAAATGTAGATGCAAAGATAACCGTGGATGTCTTTTCTCCTTTCCCCGTTTTTCAGCCTACTCCGACAAGATCAAAGAGATGTCCATGCTGTCTCTGATCTGCTCCTGCTTCTACTCACAACCACACCCCAACAGTCTCTACCAATATGGAGGTTTGTAGTGAAGAGCTATGTGTTTGTCCGTGTCCCATAGAGATTATATAAATACTGAATATGATCTTTCTATGGTCTGTCTGTCTCTCTCTCCTTCTATGTCTGTCTGTCTGTCTGTCTGTCTGTCTGTCTGTCTGTCTGTCTGTCTGTCTGTCTGTCTGTCTGTCTGTCTGTCTGTCTGTCTGTCTGTCTGTCTGTCTGTCTGTCTGTCTGTCTGTCTGTCTGTGTCTATCTGTCTGTCCTCCCCTCTCTCTGTGTCTGTTTGTCTTTCTGTGCTCCCCTCTCTCTGTGATTGTCTGTCTCCCTGCATCCTGAATATCATACTGAATATGATCTTTCTATGGTCTGTCTGTCTCTCTCTCCTTCTCTGTCTGTCTGTCTGTCTGTCTGTCTGTCTGTCTGTCTGTCTGTCTGTCTGTCTGTCTGTCTGTCTGTCTGTCTGTCTGTCTGTCTGTCTGTCTGTCTGTCTGTCTGTCTGTCTGTCTGTCTCCTTCTCTCTCTCTGTCTGTCTGTCTGTCTGTCTGTCTGTCTGTCTGTCTGTCTGTCTGTCTGTCTGTCTGTCTGTCTGTCTGTCTGTCTGTCTGTCTGTCTGTCTGTCTGTCTGTCTGTCTGTCTGTCTGTCTGTCTGTCTGTCTGTCTGTCTGTGTCTATCTGTCTGTCCTCCCCTCTCTCTGTGTCTGTTTGTCTTTCTGTGCTCCCCTCTCTCTTTGATTGTCTGTCTCCCTGCATCCTGAATATCATACTGAATATGATCTTTCTATGGTCTGTCTGTCTCTCTCTCCTTCTATGTCTGTCTGTCTGTCTGTCTGTCTGTCTGTCTGTCTGTCTGTCTGTCTGTCTGTCTGTCTGTCTGTCTGTCTGTCTGTCTGTCTGTCTGTCTGTCTGTCTGTCTGTCTGTCTGTCTGTCTGTCTGTCTGTCTGTCTCCTGTCTGTCTGTCTGTCTGTCTGTCTGTCTGTCTGTCTGTCTGTCTGTCTGTCTGTCTGTCTGTCTGTCTGTCTGTCTGTCTGTCTGTGTCTATCTGTCTGTCCTCCCCTCTCTCTGTGTCTGTTTGTCTTTCTGTGCTCCCCTCTCTCTGTGATTGTCTGTCTCCCTGCATCCTGCCTCCTGCCTGCCTGTCTGTATCAAGCTGTTGTGTGTTAGTACCATAGCATAGTGTACAAACAGGCCAGTAATTTTGAGTCCTGGCCGACACAGGCTTACTGCCCTAATACCTGCTGTTCTCCACAGACATGGAGGTGAAGTCCCTGAACAAGCGGGCGTCCGGCCAGGCCTTCGAGGTCATCCTGAAGGGCCCCGCTGACCTCTCTCCGGACAGGCCCCAGCCCCTGCTTTCTGCTCCCAAGAAGGACCTCTCCCTGGACGAGCTCCATAAAAGGCTGGAAGCTGCGGAGGAGAGGAGGAAGGTAAACGGAGAGCATGACAGATAATGGGTCACTGCAATATCTCTTTCATCAATATCTCTTTTCACCCTTCGATTCTTCTCACTCTTCCTCTCTTCACAATCTCTCTCATCTATCCCTCTTCCTCTCTCCCCTCTCTCTTTCTCCCTCTTCTCTATCGTTGTCTACTTCTCTCCCTCGTCTCTCTCTGCAGTCTCAGGAGGCCCTGGTGCTGAAGCAGCTAGCTGAGAAGCGGGAGCATGAGCGAGAGGTGCTCCACAAGGCCCTGGAGGAGAACAACAACTTCAGCAAGATGGCCGAAGAGAAGCTTAACCACAAGATGGAGGTCAACAAAGAGAACCGTGAGGCCCACCTGAATGCGCTGAAGCAGCGGCTCCGGGAGAAGGTAAGATACCCACTGATTGTCATTCAAAGCTATGGCCTAACCTAGAAAAATGAAAGACGTGGAGCATTTTGTGGGTAGAGAGTAGAGTATCCAAAGTAGGATTGGAGGTGATCTTTGGTTTAGGGGTCTACTGTAATGGAAAAACAAGGACGACCATGGCCGTAGACATGGGCATTGTGAATACTTACTGGAGGAGTGTGATGACCTAGCCGTCTTTCTGACAACAGGAGGAAATGCATTAGCATGAAATTATTAGCCAGAATGCCAGTCTGTAAGTGGATGACCAGTCTGTAACTTAAATTGGCAAGGAAACAATTTAGCATTGCTGAATGCAGAAACAATCAGATCCCTCCATTCTTCACTTTTGTTTGATAGCATTTGAGGTTGAAATGCTAACCAGTGCTAATCGAAGAATAAAGGAAGGAAGGGTGCTGAGGATTATTTCCCTCCTCTCATACAGGCGTAATAAAGGCCTAGTTCACAAATTTTGTGGATTTATCTTATTTTTATATTATCTTTTTATATTTTATTTTTTACTGCACTACCCTCAGCACCCCTACTTCCTGCGGCTATATTTCTGTGTAAAAGACTAAGATAAAAGGGAATAGAGAACAACAGTGGTGACTATGTAAATGACCTTATATTGCAGTATTTTATTGCACATCTTCTCTAATTTTCACTTCGTTCCATCACAGGAAATCCATGCTGCTGAGGTCCGTAAAAACAAGGAACTCCAAGCTGACCTCTCTGGTTGAAAACATTTTCTACAGTTTTGTCAAGAGATTCTCGTCTGATGGGTTTTGGTTGGAGGAAATGCTTCTTTTAAAAATCTCAATGTCTCAAAGGCTCTTGCATTGTTCACTGGTTTCACAAGCTAATAATTCAAGAACATTTTACACAGATTGTTTCTCATCTCTCAGTGTATTTTTTTGAAAACCACAAACATTTTGAAATGCGAAGGCACATTAGGTCAAGGGCCAGATTGACTAAACATTTGTACTTGCTTTAAGACTGCACCTGTGAGTTCAAACAAAGGAACAACATGAAAACAATTGAAAAGTTATTTATTTTACCTTTTGTTTTAAATAATGATGTTTGGTTCTGTCCAGAAAAATTACCAGTTCAATTTTGCAGTAGTGCAAATGCTTGGAAAATCTTTCTCTCTGTGTGTGTCAGACCTAAAAAGCTACTGTAAATGGGTGGCGTATGGTGAAATATTTGATTGTTTTGGTGCATGGGGCAGGTGAGAAGAGGTGGTGTGTGTGTGTGTACATCTTTACCGTTTGTTTCTGTGTAGGGGATGTTGGGGATTTTGTACTGATACTAGTTTTAGGCGTGTTCATGCACACCTTTTCAGAAGGGTGGGTGCACGCCTACGTCAGAGAGAAAGGCTGTGAGTCATCAGAAAGATGAATTGCCCTTATTGATACAAAACATAGTTCAATACGTAATGTTCAATTCTCATAGGAAGTCATGTCTATGCTGCATCTGTACTGTGAGTGAACTGTTCCACATATTTCCAAACTGTCTTTATTTTGAAAAAGTAGCTTGAGGTCGTAACACAATCCCTATATCTATTGCATAAGGTACTTTATGACATGGAAGCAGAGCCACGCTAAATGGATTCAAGAGTTGCCCTGTGCTAGAGGCTTGCTCAGACCTCGTGTAAACGGGATAATATACGATATTCAGCAAAATCTATAGGCAAACACCATAACCTGGCCATTCATCATGTATAGTGGCACCCATTGTCAATTTGTGCAGCTGTCTTCAATCAAACATGTAAAGTTACTCACTTGAGTGTTTAAAAATTAGGCCTCAGTTCAATACAGTTCAGTATTCACTTTGCCGTAGGTCAGTGAATTAATAAGGTTATGACACATACGTTTGAGCTGCTTGAAGAGTGGCTTCCGTTCTCGCTTCAGTTTCGTTTCCTAGCTACTGAAATCTCCCACACAGTCTGTTTATTTCCGAGAGTCACTCACTTGTGACTGTTGAGTAAGTGTCACTGTAGGGGACTACATTGAGTAACAAGATGACTCCACTACAGAATGCCATAGTTTGTTTGCAGTGAGATACAGAGTCAATGTGACAGAATTAGTTTTATGCAAATCATATGCAAATAAAAAGGATTATGATGTGAACTTTGGCATGTGATGTGGAGGTATCAAATGCTGACATAGCCTGAATGTATTACCAGACTCACATAGCCTGAATGTATTACCTTCTAGCAGCATATAGGCCTGGGTTACTCGTGCAAGGTTTCCCTATACAGTATTAATGGGGATAATGCTGCTCAGCTTCAGTGGGGTTGCGCTAGGACACAATCCCGTCATGCTGGTGCTTGACTTGGTTGGTTGTCACCTTGCCTTAAGTAACCTTGACATCGTGCCAACTACTGTTTTATTTATCTTTGTCTAAGATGGGTCCACCAGTCCATTATGCTTACACACACACACACACACACACACACACACACACACACACAGTCTCAGCACATACAACAACTCTGTGTGAATAACTCAACAATAGCTCATCTTTGATACAAGGTCAGCTGTTGTTGCTTGCATATAAAGTCTGATAAACTATAATAAAGTTGGTGATACCTTATTTTTTCATTTCTATTTGTGACACTTAATAATTTACATATTTATCATTTACAATTGTAGTAAAATATGTCACATGAGAGCTGATATCATAGCTTTCACACATCTTTGAAAAATCTAACCTGGTAAATATTAAAAATAATGCTTCAGAATTAATTTCACTGGATTAATAAACCCTTCATGGCAAATTCAAACCGTTTTTACTTTCTGGTTCATGCAAAGAATGTTCAAGTTACAAGGTCAGGGGACTGCTTCCAAATCATCCACAGGTAATGAAATGTATGATGTATCATATGCTAACTAACTGTAAGTCGCTCTGGATAAGAGCGTCTGCTAAATGACTCAAATGTAACAAATGTAAATGTAAAATGTGATAGTTTATCTGCTATCTGCCGGACTATTATCAACGTTTGCATGATTTTTCTGTCGTAACGTTTGACCAGTAAAATGTGTAATGTGATATCGGATATCATCGAGGCTCTATAGCAGAGATTATGGAGGAATTCTCTGTTCTTATTCGTATTATTTATCAAATGTCTCTGTTTACCCTAGTCATTCTGCACAGTATCCTTTGACGATGCCGTCATGCCGACGCCCAGAATGACAGAAACGAAACTTAACCGTGCTGCGAATGAAACAGTGGGCATTCCGAGTCTTTTCGGTGAACCCCAAACGATTCTTCGTTCAAATGCTTAAAAATCGACCTACAACCATGACAAAATTGCAAAGTTGCATTCAAATACATTTTTAGCTGGCTAAATTATTAGATGGCCTGCAAAAAATATATAAAATATTGACCCGTTCTCCCCACTATTTATTGTTTCTGCCCTGAGGATTCACCCTCTTTAGATAATTATTCTGTAACTTCTCAGCAGAAAAAACTTGTTTTGAGCTCAAAAAGCAGTAGTAGCAAGGAAAAAGCAATAGCAGCAGTATGCAAATCAAGGAGCCAAATGAACGGCTCTTTCACCAATGTGATTCGGTTCCCGACGTTCACCAAAAAGATCAGTTCAAAAAGAGCCGTTCGCGAACAACTCATCATTAAATTATATTCCAACGATGGGAGGGATTTATTGTCTCCATATCCACTGTATGAGATATAACTGAAGAAACTGGAGTTTCAATTTAATGGGAAATGTTTGTTGTGTACCGACTGTTAAAAACTCCTGAAACTATTGCGGTGAGTTCAACATTATAAAATGAGTTCATTAACCATGTGTGGGTTATAAGCGAACGTTTTGAAAATAATTGTGAATGTGAAGCGTCAGACGAACCTGTGACTTCCTTCTAAATCAAATCAGGAATTACTTGATGTTGCATTTTTTATGACAACAAATTATCTAATTGTTTCTTGGTGAAAGGTAAGCAAGGTAAAGCGCCTCTATGAGTCCAAAACGTGCACGCACAGCTGTGTTCTAGAATATTGGACCATATGTTGGCTTTCATACTTTTCGAATTCTCAGCGCGCTTCTGTCAACACATTCAAATGAATAGAGGACGGGTACGGAGGTGCGCGTTCGGGCTGTGCGTCCATCGTGGACCGTGGTCAAGAGATCCATATAGCAAGTTGGAGGCGATGAAACAACAGAGGCATATTCATTTTAAATTAATGAAGCGAAGTACACGGGAGAACCACTGGGCGATGCGAGAATGGCCAGAGAGGAAGAGGAAGAGAGACGCCCAACTCGGCAGAAAATCTGTCACCCTCCAGCAGGTGGCGTCTTTTCGTTGTCTCGCCCATCAAGCAAGTAGTTTTTGTTTGGAGGTCAATGAGAGTGTAGAATTTGAAAAAAATAATAAAAATGAATGGCTTATTTTCTACGTTTATTTGATCGAATATAAGTTTCGTAATGCTTAATTTGTTAGGAATGTACTGATATAAATAAGACACGTGACATCCCGGCCACTTTGAGAAAAAAAACTTTATATCAGGGTTGTCTTGATATGGCTTTGCATATTCATGACATGAGGCTAGTAGCGTAGCATATATTTCCATTGAATACAGGTGGTTGACCTCAACAACCCTTATCGAATATTTAAAAAAGCATTAAAATAATGAGACGTATCCACCAATACAATGAAAGGATAGGCGGTAACTAGACAGCCCGCCATGTGACTTTGGGCCAGGGTGCATGAACAGGGCGGGACCAAAGTTGGGAAAAGTGTAACTTTTGTTGTGTACTTGCTATTGACCAATCGAAGCTCACTATAGTTTCCAACCTAGCACTACCTAGCCTGGTTGCTAGCTTGCTATCACCAACATGAGGGCGAAGCAATTTTGGCTAGCCGAATTTACGCGTTAAAAGGATCTCGGCTATCACAATGGGACGCTGGTATCTCAGCGTCTGTGGACTAGGATTTAAGAGTAAATAATAGTCCACAGACTACTCG